CACCTCTTTTAACCACTCATATCAGTAAACAGTAGTGTGTTGTTTGTCAGTCAGTCAGTAGACACTAAAATGACGTCACATAAGGGACGCTCAACGTTGCAGTTTGTACTGTCGTGACATATGAACTTCAAAAGCAAGAAATAAAAATACTTGTTACTCTCAACTTCGGTTTTATTTGCTCCTGAAACAGAACACTTTCGGGAACCCTGCGGAACTACTTGTAGTCTAGTACTTATAAGTTGTTGAATAATGATTATTCAAATACAAATATAAATATATGATGCTAAGACGGAAACGAAAAATGTAGTCTCTTTTGGCGTTCAGTGATAATACATATATCATCAGTAATTTGTTATTGTTGTTTATTGAATTTCGCACTAAGCTATTCATTGGGTCGAGCAGTCCCTAATTTTGAAGTGATAACCCAGAGAGAAGTCAACCAGTGAACGTCACCCACAAACAACTCTTGGGCTACTCTTTATAAAAAATAATGGGATCAACTGTTACATTATAACGCTTTTCTAAAACAGCTAGTATGTTTGTCGATGTGTTTCGATCCCGCGACCGGCAGATGTCGAGTTGAAGACCTTAACTACTAAGTAATGCAGGCTTTCCATCGGGGTTGGGTGTAATTAAAAAATTATTACTGATGTCATAGTTAACCTTTTAAAAGATAATTCCTTTGTATTTTTTATCGAATTATACATTTAAGTGCCCCCACTGGCACAGCGTTATGTCTGCGGACTTACAACGCTATAAACCGGGTTTCGATACCAGCGGTGGGCAAAGCACAGATAGTCCACCGTGACTATATCAGTGGTATCGATTTCAAAACTTGTTGGTAAACATGATGTAAAAAGAAGTATTAATATTTTTTACTTCAAGCACATTGTTAAAAAATTAGAATTATCCTTTGATTCAATAAACCATGTTTGAAATAGCATTACAGAAAGGATATTAATATTTTTCACTTTAAGCACATTGTTAAAAAATTAGAATTATTCTTTGTTTCAATAAACCATGTTTGAAATAGCATTACAGAAAGGATATTAATAGTTTCCCCTTTAAGCACATTGTTAAAAAATTAGAATTATCCTTTGAATCAATAAACCATGTTTGAAATAGCATTACAGAAAGGATATTAATATTTTTCACTTCAATCACATTGTTAAAAAGATTAGAATTATCCTTTGAATCAATAAACCATGTTTGAAATAGCATTACAGAAAGGATATTAATATTTTTCACTTCAAGCACATTGTTAAAAAGATTAGAATTATCCTTTGAATCAATAAATTTGAATTAATTAAGTTCTTGTAAAGCCAATGTAATATTTATGAATAAATCTATAATGATATTATTTTGTTTAATTGCAAATATGTTTAATTGAACGGTTTGACGGAGTTTTTTTAATAATCAAATATTTCATATTTAACAAAAGGCAGTATCATTAGGCATATCTTAATATTGTAAATACTAGATCTTGTATTCGGCCCCTTTTCGAAAGGAAGAGAGTATAACAGTATTTATATCATACCAAGTCCGCCATTAATGACGACGTGTTTCGCTCAGTACAGAGACCACACAGGTGTATGAATTTAAATTTTATAAAAGTTGTTTTAGTTTTAATAACAGATTCTCCATAATTCAGCAACGTAGATTTCGAAAATAATATTCATATATTTATCTACAACGTAAGGATTTTTTTTTACAAATCGGGAAGAAAAAAAAACTCTTACTTAGATCAAATTATTATTTTGTTTACCACAATGAACATTTTTTATTATTAAGTTTGTGTTCTAGAACGATCGATAAGACTCACGTCGCGATTGGTCTAGAATAATCTATATCCAGTGGTTGTCAACATTTTAAGCATAATAAAATGTGACCCGATTTCAATGAAAATGATTCACTTATGTAAACGTACATATGGCGTTTTGTGAAAAATCTGTACGTGATGGAGAAAAATGGATATCATTTTCGGATTCATCGTACAGGAATTAGTGTAGAACATGTAAAAATGTCAAGACAATAAAACCATCGCAGGCCTGTGTTACAACAACGATTGGGATGGTGTGAAAGTAGTGTTAAAAGAATAAAATAAGCCTGTTACTATTATCTTATAACAAATTGAATTAATTATTATCACGCTTTGCCAGAAGAAGGCATTCAAACCATAACAGTTCTTTAGAATATGTTTTCATTTTCTTTGTCAACTGAGTACATCTATGTGAAATTCAATATATAAAGGATGTAATATTGAACCTATTGTTACACTTAGCTTCAGTGTTACCACTAAACAACCAACTATCGAAAAAAAATTAGACGAATATATATAATCTAAATCGATATTAAGTTATCATTTTATGCTGTTTTTCGAATAACAGGCACACATTCTACGATTAATTACCGTTTTGTGAATGAGAACCAGATCTTGGAAACCAAATCAAGTTAAGTATTTGAGATTAGTTATAAAGTTCTAAGATATTTGTATTAACGTAAGGCATAATTTTTATGAATGATAAGTTTGTCTATGCATAAAAATAAGAAAATATTCGCTATCCAAGAGAAATACTTAAAACAATATTAAAAAGATAAATGTGAAGCCCCATCTATCATTCGATTTACCGAATCTAAGTGCTTAAACTATATGTATTTACATTTATCATTTATTTTGTTTAGATTACTAGCAAGTTTTTACTTAAAACATCTGGTACAAGCTCGAACATTTTTCTCTAAAGGCAAAAGTTAAACCTTAACGTTTTGGTAATTAACATTTATTAACAATTAACAATCAGTTTTGTTTGCTGTAAAGTGCAAAGCTACACAATGGGCTATCTGTGCTGTGCCCAACACGGGTGTCGAAAAAATGATCAACAAACAAGATTAACCGAAGAATAAAGGGTCCTCCAAGAAGTCAACTGGAAAACTAAATGGTTAAAAGAAATTAACAGCACTAATAAATAGTTGTAAAATTAAGTGTGTTTTAAGTTACACTTAAGCATGTTATTGTTACTAATAAAAATAAACTTACAACCTTTCTAGAATGTTTTTAGAAACTACTTAATATTTTTCCATATCTTTAAATCAGAAAACTCTTAATTTATAAAGCATTCACTGTAGCCTAGTCTTTGTATAAGAACAAAACTTTTCACTGATTAGGTAGTTATAGCTTTCTAGAATATAAAATTCATATTTTACATACACAAAGATAAAGGTGAAATATCATAAACTTTTCTTTACCTTATCAAAACAACAAATATAATTATAGAAACATAAATGGATGTTTAAAAGGAATGTATATAACAAGAACTAATGTACTTCTGGAGTTCATCGGGTTTTTACAACCACACAAATTACGAGAAACCCAGGAAATAATAAATAATAACATATACTTTAAAAAATAATAAACTTCTTCAAAATGTCTTTTACAACCATACAGCCCACCAGTGGCACAGCGGTATGTCTACGGACTTAGAACGCTATAATCCGGGTTTCGATACCCGTGGTGGGCAGAGCACAGATAGTCCATTGTGTAGCTGTGTGTTTAATTACAAACAAACAGTACAACCATACAGAGTAAATTACGAGAAACACATGAAATAATAACATTAACTTAAGAAAAAAAAATAACTCGTTCAAAATGTTTCAAGTAGATAAATGTAGTTGGAATTCCATTTCGAATGCGACACATTATTTTTACATAATTTCTGCCTATGAAAACTAACAAGTGTATCATAAGTCGTTCACTATCAGGCTTAATTTATCCTGGTTGCTTGTTCAGTTCATAACTTGTGTTTCTTCGTGAGGTTGTTCCTTGTTTTTCCCTTATTTTAAAGCAAAGTCTGATTCACTCTTACAGCATAGTTATACCTTAAATTTAGGAAAGTTACTTTAATTTTCAGTTGATAAGTTGTTAATTCACGTTTCCAAAGGGATCTAATATCATTGAGGAATAAATAGGATAACATCGTATGGTTGAACAGAAAGGGTAGACAACAATATGTATTTGAAACTATTTTCGAGATGATTCTAATTTTTTTTTTCCTTTATCACCAAGTGCTATAATGTGATTTAAATAATTTGCAATTTTTGAGATATATAATACCTTCTGTTATTAGATACACTTGAAATAGAGATTATTGATTAGTTCGAAGCAACTCCTTTTATTTATCTATTATTGTAAAACTTGACTGCGCTGTCTTATTAAGTTGAGAACAACAAGATAAGAGTGGTGAATCTTAGGAGCAAATCCATAGTTAAACAACAGCAGAAGTAGCTTAGGCCAGGTGTCTGTAGGACTCAAAACTGTGTACATCATGGCAGATGTGAATAAACAAATAATGACTGATAGAGGCGTAATTTACGAGATGTAATTCAGTGGTAAACTATTTAATACGATGTTGCCCTAGTGTCTTGTTTAACCAACCTTCTCTCTACAGTCACGCGCTCTTTCTTTCCATCTGGCAGTATTACATCCAGGTCCATTCGCCCTTCCAAAAGCTCATTAATGGCACTGTCGTCTCCTCCATGATTTGGTGTCATTACCGGTGTGACGTCATAGGGCAAAGTCCCGTTAACGACCGGTAACTTGGGAATATTATTCATCACCGGTGGTGCCGATACTGTCTTCTTAACTTTGGGGCTAGAAAAAAAAAACAACGATAATAATTTTATGTTACTTTTTTTCAAACGTACAACTGTTAAGAAATGCTTGGTATTTCCAACCTTATTTGTACCCTGTGTGACACATCAGCTAAAAGGCCAGATCAGAGAACACTATGACTGGATTGTTAAGAAACGTTTGATTTTTACACCTAAGTGCTTCTATTCCAAAAACAATGAGATTTGGGGTATGTTTATTTATAATCTATCCCGTTTTAAGGAATTATATGCTTCAATAAATGGGAGTGAAGAAATTAGTTGGAAGTCATATGTGGATGAGTGCAAAAAAACGGCATATTTTAGACAAACTAAAGAAGTTTCTGAAGCTTCAGTTGTTTGTTTCTTTATATATTTTATTGCTACACATATATATAAATCATATAAGCATTTTTTCCTGATAAAATAATTTTACTTGTGTTATCTCATATTGGTAAATGTTTAATAACTATAGAGCTTTTTATATGCCTGAAATTACCGAAACGTTGTGTTTCTAAATGACCAGAAGACATTTATCCATCTTTAAATCGCAGGATGGCAGTTTTGGTCATGTACTGCTAACGCAGCTGGTTGTTTGAGTTGTAGTTTTAGAAGACGAGAACCATAAACATCCAAGTACGTATTGCCAAACCTGTTTTATGTGAGTTAAACATATATATATATAATATATTTTTTGCAATCGTAACTGAATAAAACACAGTTAGGAGCGAAAAAAATGATAACAGCAGCGAAGTGAAAATCCAATACTTTCCCATCGATATCAGTAAATATTTTAATTTCTTACAAGTTATATTGTTAAATATTCTTAGTAGGAAATTTCAAAAGTTATAGGGTTCCTAGTATAGAATATAACGCTAAAATTTAAAACTTATATAACTAACTGATTTATGTCAGTTAAGGTTACGAAATTTACTTTCAACTAAATACAAAGATGGAAAAAATTATATCAGATTACGCAAAAATTATCTTTCAGTTATATTAGGCCCAGCATGGCCAGGCGGTTAGGGCGCTCGACTCGCAATCTGAGGGTCGCGGGTTCGAATCCCCGTCACACTAAACATGCTCGCCCTTTCAGCCGTGGGGACGTTATAAAGTGACGGTCAATCCCACTATTCGTTGGTAAAAGAGTAGCCCAAGAGTTGGCGGTGGGTGGTCTTCCCTCTAGTCTTACACTGCTAAATTAGGGACGGCTAGCGCAGATAGCTCTCGTGTAGCTCTGCGCTAAATTCAAAAAACAAAACAAACAAACCTTACAGTTGCGACACTAAGATAAACCAAGTATATAATACAGAGGTTGAGCGTGTTGTACTAAAACGATTTTGGAGCCTCACCACGCCAGTCCATGTCGATACATGCGGTCATGTTCTGTTTAATGACCACGTATTTTGACAATAGCCCTTCAACGTAGTTTCCACTTAAAAAACATAGACGCAAGGCTGTCATTCCAAAACAACAACAACAACAAAAACACCCCGGTCCTGTTTACTTTCTGTAATCAATTTGGCATATGTAGACTGTGAACTAAAGCTTCCTAGTGTTCGTTCCAACAGTCCAATCGCACATAATTCTACCTGCGACTTGATCAATAGTGAATAACATAAATACCAGTTTAATTCTCCAGTATGTCTGAAAGTCGTATCTTTGTAGACCCATACCCTGTTGGCTTCGTTTCAAGACTGAGGTCTGGTCTTTCCTGATTAAGTTACACACTGTTGCCTGAGACACATGGTTTGCTTTTGCCACTGATCTTAGTGTTCGTGGATTCTCATCTGTTACAAGATGGCGCACTTTGTTTATGACAACTCGGGTACGACTTGCTGCAGGTCTCTTTTTCATTTGTCCTGATGCCTAGAGTTGATCCACACTCGTCTGTCTTCCTGAGTCTGGCGTGGTATTAGTTTTTAGGAGGCTCGACTCACAATCTGCACTTTGCGGGATCGGAACCCAAACAGGCTCGCCCTTTCAGCGGGCGTTATAATATGACGGTTAATCTCACTATTCGTTGGTAGAGAGTAGTCCAAGAGTTGATATTGACTCGTTGCCTTACTTCTGGTTTAGCACTTCAAAATAAGGGATAGATAATGCTTTGCGCAATATTTCAACAAACAAAAAAACTTTAATTTCCAAAGCTTTTAAGTAACGAATGATATCCGCATTTTGGAAATTCTAAAATCCGATCTGAACACATCTTTATGGTCTGAGAGTATTAATATTTTGTGTCGGAAAAGCTGGTACATACCCTTCTCAAAAGCGATCAATTTTCGGTGGCGTCACACTATCTACGTAACGCACACAGTGTCAAAATGTTGTTCTGATACATACCGTTTCATCGCGACTTTATGTCGGCTGTGGTTGCCACGTAACTTGCTGATTCTCCTGTACAATGTCGTTTTAATATAACATTCTTAATAATATGTATTCTTGTTTGCTTGATTTTAAGCGCAGAGCTGTACAATAGGCTATATGTGCTGTTAATAAGCGCTAGGCTAGACAGTGGATGTTTGTGCTGTGCTAACCGTGGGTATCGAAACCTGATTTTTTAACGTGATAAACCATCAGACTAACCACTGCGCCTCCGGAAGCTAATACATTTGGTTATGGAGCTTAATAAAAGTAACTTCCTGCACTTTATCATAGATATTGATAAAGGTGACCTTTAAACTCTTAAACTTCGAGCTTAATAAAGGTGATGTTTCTTTATTTGATTAGTGAGCTTAGTAAAGGTGATGTTTCTATACTTGAATATTGAGCCTGATAAAGGTGCTTTTTCTGTACTTGATTATTCAGCTTGATAAAGGTGATGTTTCTGTATTTGATTATTAAACTTCAAAAATGTGATGTTTCTGGACTTTATTATTAAGCTTGATAAATGTGATGTTTCTGTACTTGAATATTGAGCCTGATAAAGGTGCTTTTTCTGTACTTGATTATTCAGATTGATAAAGGTGATGCGTCTATATTTGATTATTAAACTTCACAAATGTGATGTTTCTGGACTTTATTATTAAGCTTGATAAATGTGATGTTTCTGTACTTGAATATTGAGCCTGATAAAGGTGCTTTTTCTGTACTTGATTATTCAGCTTGATAAAGATGATGCTTCTATATTTGATTATTAAACGTCACAAATGTGATGTTTCTGGACTTTATTATTAAGCTTGATAAATGTGATGTTTCTGTACTTGAGTATTGAGCCTGATAAGTGTGATTTTTCACACTTTATGA